AGAACAAGGTGTTAACCTGCATGGTGCGACACGGACCACCGCGACCAAATCATCACTACCGATTCTTCCGCAGCTGGGAAGACATGTTCGCAGACCCACCTCCAGAAAGACCCGAAGGTTCGGTCGAAGAAGAAGAGGAGAACGACCCCACCTACGACGAGCTGACGGTTGGCCGCATGCTGTACGATTGGCAAGCACCATCGTGGATTCAAGAATCGCTACCTGCACGCATTGCACACGACGACGAAGGTTACGACTATGAAGATGATCACGCATCACTTAACTCCGAAACTCGCAAATCTCGCCCAAACCAAGAAAGACGTCAAGAAATGGTACCTGGACAGCTGTTGCGGCCAGCACATGGTGTCGTCGAGTGTCTTTATCCTCAACAGTGAAGAACTCTTCAATGAGGTGGAAATCACCGTCGCCAACAACCAGACGATCTACGCAAGAAGTCGCGGACAGATCCAGTTGGAGTCAAACGACACCGGGTACTGCATCAACATTAGCAATGTCCTGGTGGTGCCGGAGCTTCAGTTTAACCTCCTGTCGGCCGCTCAGCTGATGAAGTGTGGCATCGACCTGCAGTCACACGAAAACGAGTTTCACTTAATATACGACAAAACCCTTCTCGGAAAGGCGAAGAACGAGAACGGAGTGTTCGTGCTCGATTTCAAATCACCCAATACCTCTGGCGACAACGAACACATCATAGTTCTTGATCCGCCCTGCCACCCATAACCACCAACTCGGAGTCACCCAGAAGAAACGGAATATCAACGCCCAGGCCTTGACGGAACCTTCCGCGCTCTCGCCGTACTCGTCGCCTCAACCACGAACCCTGCGGACACAGGACCACATGAAGTGGAGGAAGCTGAAGAAATTAATTCGGGAGCAAAAAACACAGAAGTTGGAGGATGGGCGCGAGCACTCTGGCCCCGCGTTCAGCAGCCTACCAGCTGGAACACGACTGAAGGCTGGGACGCTGTGGATGTCCACTGGGTCATGGAGAACACCAAGCTGGGAGAAGCTACTGCAGCCGAAATCGGATGGGGAAACGTCGCCGAAGGACCTGCAGCAGAAGCAGCAGAAGAAGCAGAAGAAGCAGAAGAACCAGAAGTTACTGAGGAGGCACCGGAAGCAGAAGAGGAAGAATCACTGATGGGGTACGGGCCTCACCTCATCCCCATCACGACAGATGGAAGGATCTATCTCCGCGTCGAGACCAGGGGGGCAGCGATTGGCGATACTGACTACGAAGAAGGAGAAGTCACGTAGCCGGAGGATCGTCGTCAACGAGCCACACCGACATCTCCTGAAGGACCCCTGGAGCTTCCCGAGGTGATCGGCACCTCCACCATCGGCGACACCAGCGACGAGTACCACGAAGCACAAGAGAAGGAGCTCTACGCGCGCACGAAAGGATACCACGCCGACCCCGACATCTGGCATCAACGATTCGGGCACCCATCAATCGAAGTGCTCAACAATTGTATCAACGCAAAAGTCTTTGCGGAAGACGCACTGTTGCTGTTGGATGGAAAACTACTGAAACCAAGGACTGACTTACCCAACTGCGCCGTCTGCCTGACAGCTGCGCTGCGTCACACACCTTTCGTGGAGAAAATACCTGGAGCCGAATGATACAAACCACTCGACAAAGTCTACAGCGATTTCCTAGTTCTCATGGCAAAAGGGGTCGGAGGAGAGCAATACACCCTCACCTTCATCGACGCTGGTACACGCTTCGTCTGGGCCGTGAACGTCAGCAACCGCTACCTCGCCTACCACTGCTTCTACCTGTGGCTTAAAATGGCAGAGACTCAGAGCGAGGGCAGGAAGCTGAAAGCCTTCCAAACCGACGGAGCACTGGAGTACCAGACTGAGGAGTTCAAAACCCTCTGTGGAGAAAAGGGGATTAAGAGGATGATCTCCCTCCCCTACGCTCACGAGCAGCAGGGACTGGCGGAGCGAACCAACAGGAGCCTCGCAACAAAAATGTGAGCCCTCATGAAGCAATCAGCTGTGCCGACCAAGTATTGGCCCTTCGCGATGGCATATGCAGTTTGCCTGCACACATGCTTTCTTCGAAAGCACTGCCCAACAACACTTTGCCGTTCAAGGAGTGGACCGGTAAAAACCCCGACACACGCATGCTGTGGGTTTTCGGATGCATGGTACAGTACCGCCCCCACACTGCCCGGACCGGAAAATTTGAGGACCGTGCCCGTTGGGGCATCCACCTCGGAATCGAATCCGAATACCACGCCTGGACAATTCTGGATTTCGCCACCCACCAATTCACGCGATCACGTGACTGCATCTTCTACGAAAGACTGACCCTGCCACTGTACCGACAGCACCGCACTGTACAGAATGCACCAGACAACATCTTCCAGGGACAGCACAGCTATGCCAGTGACGAGGATGCCGTTGACGTGGCAGGTGAACAGCCAGACGAGACAACTAGAGACGAGGCACCCTTTGTACCCGCTACGGAGGAATTCGGGACAGCATTTTTTTTCCCAACGGACACTGATCAACAAGAAGCAGTACTGGCACATCATAACAACGCTAGTGCAGAAATGCACTCACCCATGGAGGAAGATCCCGCTCGCGATTCCTCTCGCGACACCGTTCGCGACATTCCTGGCGATGACGACGACGTGGTTGAAGTTACCGACGCAGCTGAATCCAACCTCACCGGCCCTCGCATTCTCGGCCTTGCTGTCGCCTTCCGGGGTAACCAGCAGCTGGTTGAGCCCACCACTGTTCACCAGGCTCTCTGCGGACCCGATGCTGAGAAGTGGAGAGCAGCCATGGCCGCAGAAGTCGCTGCACTCCAACGGCGTGGCACCTGGAAGCTGGTACCACGACGACACGCAAAGGGGAGGAAAATTCTCACAGGGAAATGGGTGTTCAAGATCAAAACACTTGCGGATGGCGCCATCGATAAGTACAAGGCGCGATGGGCCGTCCGCGGCTTCGAACAAACTCAATTCGTGGACTACGACAAAACGTTCGCACCTGTCGGCCGCCACACCTCCGTGCGAATCCTTCTTTGCGTCGCTGCCGTAAGGCAGCGTCCCCTGCACAAGATCGACGTGTCGAACACGTCCTCTACGCGATCGTCAATGCAATCATCTACATCGAACAGCCGCACGGTTTCGAAGAAAATGGCGACGCCATATGCCTCCTCCAGAAGTCTCTCTACGGGATTAAGCAGGCACCGCGCCTGTGGCAACAGTACCTCCACGCCGCACTAATCGAGCTCGGCTTCCAGCAGCTTCCCCACGATCAGGGGATGTACTGCCTTGAGTCCCACGGTAGCTTCATCTTGCTCGTCGCCTACGTAGACGACTTGCTCTACATCGGCGACAACGCGGAGCTGCTCGATCGCTTCAAACGCAACATCAAAGAAAAGCTAGAAGTGACCATCAATCACGATGTCACTCAATTCCTCGGCCTCAATGTCACCGAGACAGCTGACACGATCCACCTGTCTGCCGCGAAATACGCCGAAACACTCGCTAAGAAGTTCGACATCGCTCCCGTCGGCGTCACCACCCCATTTCGCATTCCCCCGCCTAATCACGAGCCCGACACCACCCCGCTATATCCGGATGACCGTCTGCTCTTCGCCGCCGTCACATGCCGCCCGGACCTCTCGTATGCCGCTAGCCAGCTCGCCCAGTACCTCCGCCGACCAGAAGGGGAGAACATGGCGGACCTACGACGTGCCCTACAATACTTCATCTCCACGCTTGATGTCGGCCTTACCTACAAGGCGATTCTAATAGCCACTATGCAGCTTACAGGCCAGGTAGATGCTGACCACACAGGGGACGCAGACAACAGAAGGTCCCGCAGCGTGGCATTACCCTAAGTAATAGGCAGGAACTATCTTGTGGAACTCGCAGAATCAGGAACTCATCGCCCTCTCGTCAGCAGAAGCAGAATTCATCGTAGCAAGCGCATCAGTTTGTGAAGGCCTCTACTTCACGGAGCTCCTACAGGAAACGAAAACGACGATGAACGGGTCATTCAAGTTACTGTGCGACAACCAGAGCCCGATCAAGATCGCGGACAAACCCGGCTTTGTCAACCGCACGAAACACATCGCCCTGCGTTGCTTCTTCGTCAAGGACGAAATTGACAAGGGGAAAGTCCAACTCACCTACTGCCCAACTGGCGAAATGGCAGCAGACTTACTGACGAAGAAGCTGCCACGTCAGAAGTTCCAGTACTATTCGGACCTGTGCGGAGTCGTCCGAAAGAGCCACGCGGCGCACCTCCATGAATGAAGGGGAGTGTTGGAGTATGAAGGGAATTGACTTAAGCATTCCCATAGGTGCAGCTGTACCGCACCCATCGCTATCGAAGCAGCACCACCAGCAGAATCGGATCAGCCCGTAACAAGGGCAGGAAGGTCAACGGTCGCAAAAGGTCAACTGTCGCGACTGTTGACCATCTGGACCGAATGACTCACCAGCTAGGAATGGCAACAGGCGTAACTGTCTATACGGTTACACGCAGCGACTCGATAACAAGAAGAAGAGCAATGGTCAGAGTCACTGTGGAAACTGCCTGTAAAACAGTTAGAATAAGGGAATGTACACCTCAGAGGACATGGCTAGTTAGATCTATTTATTGTGTGTAATTTTATGCTTGAATTAATCAATCTTGTCATTTACATCCACTATGCAAAAGGTTCTTACCACAAGACTTCCGCTCTCAAATCTCTCCAAGTCAATCCTATCCTATCCAAGATCCTTACTCTAACACCTTTGCCACCTTTCCTTCAACCTATATCTTTTACTTGATTCCATAGTGAAACCATCTTCCCCTTCTCAATTCTCTCTCACGCTACGCTTGCACTCACGCCACTATGTCTACTAAGGATGTTCCTAAACTACTATAGCTACTATTCTGACAGAAAGCTAGTGTGCAGTGTAACATACATCGGGGGCTGGTAATGGCCGAAGAACGGACGCGACCCGATGCGTATTGTTGTAAGCGTTGGAGCCAGGTGAAAATTAAGAACATTCTCATTCCTTATAGGCAGCAAGGTACAACGAGGAATCCTACTTGTTGCTGTGTCGGATACATTTGTACATACTATCTGAAATCAAGCAGCCCTTGTTTTGCTGCCCTTGCTAAGGAATCTCGAAAACACAACACAAGAGGGCGTACGGTACATGAGATAGCTTCTACAGTGATAGCTTTAGAGATAGGCCTTCCACTCGCAACTCATTCAGCACAACCCCACCCTCTCCTCCTCTCTCCCCTCCTGCCCCTTCTCCCCCTTCTCCTCCTGGCCCCCCTTCTCCCCCTGCCCTCCCTCCTCCCCCTGCCCCCCCTCCTCCCCCTGCCCCCCCTGCTCCCCGCGCTCCCCCTGCCCCCCCTGCTCCCCGCGCCTCCCCTGCCCCCCTTGCTCCCCCTGCTTCCCTTGCTCCCCCTGCTTCCCTTGCTCCCCCTGCTTCCCGTGCCCCCCCTGCTTCCCTTGGCCCCCCTGCCCCCCCTCCTCCCCCGATCCCCCTTCCTCCCCCTGCCCTCTCTGCTCCTCCTGCCCCCCCTGCCCCCCCTCCTCCCCCTGGCCTCCCTGCTCCTCCTGTCCCCCCTGTTGCCCCTGCTCTGGCCACATCCCCTGCTCTGCCGGACTCATTTTCTCTTGCTGCTAATGCAGCTGCCTCTGCTCTCCTTGCCCCCCCTACCCCCCCTGTTCCCCCTGCACCTGCTGCCCGTGCCCCCCCTGCTCCCCCTGCTTCCCCCAACGTCCTTGCTCTTGCACCTGCTGCAGCTGCCTCTGCTCTCCTTGCTCTTGCATCCTCTGCAGCTGCCTCTGATCTCCTTAATCTTGCTGCTGCTACATCTGCCGCTGCTGATGCTCTTGCCATCCTGGCTGCCAGGCTCCTAGGGGGTGCTGCTACCCTCTGAACCCCGGAACTTACAGGGTTACTGGAAATACGCCCCGTGGCATTCGACTCAGCAGCTGTAACAGCAGCAGCTGTAGAGGCAGCAGGTGCCGCAGCAAGAGCTGTTGTAGCTGTAGCAGGCGTGCTAGTATTAGTAGCAGCCATGGGAGTAGCAGGTGTGAGAGAAGCAGTTGCAGCAGCAGAGGGGGGTGTTGAGTAAGAATGGCATGGGGCATTGCTGAAGGTAGGGAGAGGGGGAGAGAAGATTTTCTGCTCGTTAAGGGAAGTGGGAGTTGGGGGGGACACAGGGGCTCCTGGGCGGGGTAACAACTGGGGAAGGTGTATGTGGGGCTTGGAGAGAGAGAAAGAGGATGAAAGGGAGCTTCTTGGGGTATAGAGTAAGGGCGGGTGGGAGTGAGAGGGTTGGTTGAGATATAGAGGGGAGGGAGGGGAGAGAGAATACGAGGCAGTGCGAGCGGAACGCGGGGAGTGAGGGAAGGAGGAAGTTGGAGTGAGGATGGAGCAGAGGATGGGGGCTTCGGGTGGCTTGCTTGCTTCCTTTGCCCAAAATGGCTTCACTTGGGCTTGATGGCTTTTGGGCGTGCTTGTATAGGGGATGACTGTAGCAGAAGTTTTCGACAAGCTGTCTTCTTGGGTTGGTAGCATGGTAACTGGGATCCTTGTGCTGTTGTCTCCGTTTTTGTTGTCCTCATTTGCAGTCTGCTTCATGGCTGCCTCTTGCACTGTACCGTTTGCAGCATCCCTGCTGCTGCATGCCTTTATAAGAACGTGTTTATTTGTATTGCAGGTCCCCTTCTCGATCTTGTCAGAGCAGTTCATAGCGAACCCATCCTCAGCAGCTAGCGAGATCTGCTCCCCGCATTGGCGCGCGTTAGTCGTTTCGGAGGAGTCAGCGGACGCGCGAGGAGGATCTAAAATTTCGTGCTTTACACATTTCTGCGGAGGCGCACTCATCTGATTGGGGGGGAATATGAGAAAATGGAGGGGAGAAAGCGGAGAGTTAGGTTCAGAACAAACCCCGACACTCATGGTGCAGAGGTTTTAGGAGGAAAACTCACGAAGAGCCGAATTTGTGACAAAGCCCTACACTAGGGCGTTGCGTTTTGAAAGTGCCTCAAACGCCGGCACTTACCGATTCGTTTTGCGGCGATTTTCTCTTCGACGAACGCAGCAGCGCGACATATTTGGATTTTAGCTCCGCGTGCTCCTCGGCCAAATCCCCCATCTCGCACTTCGCCCGCTCATTCTGTTTCCGCAGTTCCGCCAGCTCCGCGTGCGCTTGAGCCATCTCCGCGCGCATCCGCTCTAGCTCCCTCTCCCTCGTCAGCGTAGCGTGTTTCACGCGTCGGTTCTGGAACCAAACCGCGACCTGACGTGGCCTCAATTCGAGCTGACTCGCCAGCTCGAGCCGCGTCTCCAGATTTATTTTGCGCTCAATCTCATTGAAATGCGACTCGAGCACTTCGATCTGAGCGGGCGATAGGCGCAGCTTGGACTTCCGCTTGGACTTGGGGGGCTTTTCAGAAGAAGCGGGGGACCTTTGCGCGGAGGCGGCGGACGGAGAGGTTGAGCGAGGGGAGAAATGCGCGGCTGCGGTTGCGGGGGTTGCTGCTGGGAGCCCTGTCAGCCTGCCGATACGATGCCCCGCGAGGGTTGCGAGATTCGCGAGAGTCACGAGAGTCGCGACAGTTGCGAGAGTCACGAGAGTCGCTAGAGTCGCGAGAGTCGCGAGAGTCACGAGAGTCGCTAGAGTCGCGAGAGTCGCGAGAGTCACGAGAGTCGCGAGAGCCACGTGAATTACCCTGCTCTGGCGACGACGAAGGCTCCAACTATGGGACGCGTGTCACATGCGACAGCTCGCATGCGACTTTGTTAAGATGGTCGTCTCCGTCGCCGTCGTCGTCGCAGTCGTCGCCATCGTCGTCTTGGTCGACGTCGTTGTCGTTCACTTGATTGTCGTCACCGTTGTCGTTACTCGACAAATCAAAGCAATCTGGAAGCTCGCCGCCGCCGCCGCCACCGACGCCGTCGTCGTCTACAGGTCCCGTCGCTCGTGGAAACGCCGCTTGAGGGGGGAGGAAATTATGGCGAGGCCGTTTTTGGTGTGACACGTGGAGCACAGGGTGTATTAGTAGTGACAGTCGCAACGGCGACGGCGAAGAACTCCTTGCGACCACTGACGTTTCGCAGTCCAACTGCTGCGCTGTAATAGAGTCTATGACTGTAACGTTTCCCGACAAGCTCCTTCGCTGCACCGCAGGCGACTGCGCTCCGAGCAGTTGCTGAATCATCTTCGCTGACACGCTTCTCTTTCTCGGGTCATTATGATGGCGTGGCCGCTGCGCGTCAGGAAGATTTGTTTTCCTGCAGTCACGTTGTGGTTGGTCGTGCACTGAGTCGCCTTTTAGCGGTCTCGTCGGCGAGGAGCGTCGTGAAGAGCGGCAGCGATTCATCGTCGGACCGCGACTCCATCATGGCGTATGTGACCGCTTCTAAGTCGACTCAAAAATCGGTTAGATCGCTTCTTAATTAGACTTTTCAGGAACTCCCTGTCAAATCGGCGCCTACTGAGAAAAACGTCAACAACGGGTTCTGCTATAGTTACAAGACTTGGAATTCAGTGCGATTTGGAGGCGGAATCACTAAATGGCTGTCGTCGAGGGGGGCTAAATAGCCAACATACAATAGCTTCCCTCCCAAGTTCGCGATTCTGAAAGGAGCTCATCACTGATGAGAGGTGAAGCAGATTCGAGAGGGGAGAGAGGAGAGTGGGAGAGGAGGGAGAAGTATAGCGAAGAGCGAATGAGGTTCGTTTCTGTGAGGTTGGTGGTGATGACAAGCGCGACAATCGTGTTTGATCACAGAAATTATCGATCGGAACTTGCGGATGTGGGTTCCAGTAATGTAGCAGCGCCTAGTAGCAGCGCCTAGTAGCAGCACGATCCGCAGGCAGCAGCGCGTTTCCCGCCGGCCTTGCGATTTAGCCGCCCAGCCCGCGATTTAGCCGCCCAGCCCGGGATCTAGCCGCACAGCCCGCGATCTAGCTGCCCAGCCCGCGATTAACCCGTCCGGTCCGCGATCTTGCCGCCATGCCCACGATCTAGCCGCAAAGCCGTGATCTTGCTGACCAACCCGCGATTTAGCCGCTCAGCCCGCGGTCTGCAGGTAGCATCGCGCAGCTAGGCAGCGAAATCCGCGCCGTAGCAGCGAAATCCGCGCGTAGCAGCGATATCCGCGCCGTAGCAGCGAAATCCGCGCCGTAGCAGCGAAATCCGTGCCGTAGTAGTGAAGTCCGCGCCGTAGCAGCGAAATCGGCGCCGTAGTAGCGAAATCCGCGCCGTAGCAGCGAAATCCGCGCGTAGCAGCGATATCCGCACCGTAGCAGCGAAGTCCGCGCCGTAGCAGCGAAATCGGCGCCGTAGTAGCGAAATCCACGCCGTAGCAGCAAAAACCGCGCCGTAGCAGCGAGATCCGCGCCGTAGCAGCGAGATCCGCGCCGTAGCAGCGAGATCCGCGCCGTAGCAGCGACATTCACGCGTGGGAGCGCCCACACAGCGAGGTCCGCGCCTAGGCAGCGAACTCCATAGCATAAGAACGCCCACACAGCGAGATCCGCACTTAGGCCGTGACACCCGCGCGCAGGAGCACCCACGCATCGAGATCCGCGCCTTGGGTGCGACACCCGCGGGTAGGAGCGTCCACGCGTGTAGGGGAGACTACGTGCGCTAGCGACGCTTGACACCTTCGATGGACCCGGACTGCAGACTTAGTTTAGAAGGCGGGAGGCGCTCCGACAGCGCTCCTCGCAAAACCGTACGCCATGACCAAAGACCCAGACCCTCCAGACCGCGGAGGGAAGAGCCTGTCGATGATTGGCCACAAGAGACCCAGAGAGGCAGCGCTGAGTCCGCAATACCCACAACTCATTCGCCTACACCATGAAGAGGCACTCTGCCTTTTCGGTAGGCCCAACAAGCGACAAAGGTATGGACCCCACCTGACAGAGGAGGGGACGGATGAACCGTCAGAGGACACTCCCGGCGGCTTTGTAGTCGGCAGCAACAGTTACTCCAACCGAGATCTGGACTCTAGGGAAGAGGGCGAGCGTGTTCATGGGGTGCACAAACAAGGTATTGGTGATGACGCGGCGATGACTGCATGGGAGGCACACCACCAGCGACTGCAGGAGTCTCACGATAGGCGGCGGCATGCCCTCGGCAGTCCCTTAGCACAACCGGCCCCCACTAGACACGACATCACAGCTCCGCGCGTGCCTCGCCTGGCCCAAAGGCAGCAACGAAGGCGGAGAGCTCGGACGGAAGTGCAGCAGGGGAGTCTAGCGCGGACCCAGCCCCCGATGCAGACGGGGGGGCAGCAGAACCGGCTGCCGGGGGGGGCCTGGAAGTCACAAGTAAGGGGGCAGCAGGGGCTGCCGGTGGGGGAGCAGCAGGAGCTGTCGGCGGGAGGACAGCAGGAGCTGCAGAGTGGAAGGCAGCAGGAGCAGCAGAGCGGAGGGCAGCAGGAGCTCCAGAGCGGAGGGCAGCAGCAACTGCAGAGCGGAGGGCAGCAGGAGCTGCAGAGCGGAGGGCAGCAGCAGCTGCAGAGCGGAGGGCAGCAGCAGCTGCAGAGCGGAGAGCAGCAGCAGCTGCAGAGCGGAGGGCAGCAGCAGCTGCAGCTGAGCGGAGGGCAGAAGGTGCCGCGGAGCGGAGGGCAGCAGCAGCTGCAAAGCGGAGGGCAGCAGGGGCTGCAGAGCGGAGGGCAGCAGCAGCAGCTGCAGAGCGGAGGGCAGCAGGGGCTGCAGAGCGGAGGGCAGCAGCAGCTGCAGAGCGGAGGGCAGCAGCAGCTGCAGAGCGGAGGGCAGCAGGGGTTGCAGAGCGGAGGGCAGCAGGGGCTGCAGAGCGGAGGGCAGCAGGGGCTGCAGAGCGGAGGGCAGCAGCAGCAGCTGCAGAGCGGAGGGCAGCAGGGGCTGCAGAGCGGAGGGCAGCAGGGGCTGCAGAGCGG